CGAGGCCCATTCCGGCGTAATTTCGGTGAATCCTCCTTAATGGGGGTTACTCCTCCTCCTTAATTGGGGTTCATCCTCCTTAATGGGGGTCAATCCTCCCTAATCTTTTTTCTTTTTGAGGAAGACCTCCCAGTAGTTGCCTCTTAACAACCCGGGGTCCCCCGATCGCCAACCGCCTTCGGGTTGGGTCTACTTCCGGCCTTCGGGTTGTGTCGGGGTGGTTCTGGCAGGTACTCAACCCGCACGGTAAGAATGGGCGGCTTTCCCAAGGGTGCCCGTGCATCCTTGCCTCCTCGGTTCATCCCTCGCCGCTTTCGCTGGCCGCGCCCCGCTCGAAGGGCTCCGAAATGGGCGTCCAAGGCCTTGCATCCTCATCGCGCGTCCTTGCTATACTGGTTGACTGTAGGTACTCAACCGAGGTCCCCCGATCCCGCTTAATCCGATTTGATCCCGCTTAATCCTGCTTAATCTGGCTTGATCCCGCTTAATCCGAGGCCCACTCTAGCAAGAGAGCCCCCCAATGGGGGTTAATCCTCCTTAATCTCAAGGGAGGAGGAACCACCCGGACCGAACGATGGGCGTTTACTAAACGGCCCGGGGCGTTTACTAAACAGCCGTGCCCTGTTTGATTTTTGTCTGGGCGCGTTTACCAAAGGGCTTCGCTGTCGGGGTGGTTATTATGGGGTGGATGGTTTGCCCTCTGTGTCGGGCGAAGGGAACTATGCACATGCACCGATCCTGGCAGGGCCCATCCTTGACCCAGGATCGGTGCATATGCCTTCCCAGCCAAGGTCGGAAGGCGTACGCACCGATCCTGGGCTCAGGATGGGCCTGGCCAGGATCGGTGTATGTTTACCAGCCTGGAACATATCCCTATCCCTATGCTGGGCACCTCCTCATCACGATGCCGATCTCAGGGATTCCCTTCTTTTTTGAGGGCGGATCCCTAAGATTGTCATCGCCTTTTGGCGTGTCAATCTTGGGGATAGGGATACGCTCGAGGCTGGTAGTCTGTGCATAGCTCTCTTCCCTCCACTGGTGGTGGACGGCGGGTGCTCCGCCGAGAAGTCCCCCGACCGCCCGCCGCGGCCCGCGCAGGGCCCGCCCCCGCGCCGGGCGCGCCGCCGAGCTCTCCCGGCGCCCGGCGGGCCGACCCCGGTCGGGAGCCTGGAGACGGGGGTCAACGCAGAGCGCCCGATCTTGCAGGATCGGGCAGGGTCAGCCAGAGCGCCCGATCTTGCAGGATCCTGCAGGGCCAGGGTCGCATTGACCCGGGTTTGGGTGCAGGATCCTGCAGGATCTTGCAGGGTCCTCCGCATGGACTCGGGTTTGGGCGCAGGGTCTTGCAGGATTTTGCAAGGCCTGATTGACCCGGGTTTGCATTGACCCGGGTCAGCAGGTCCCCGACCTGGGGCCCGGGGAGGTCGGGAGACGAGGGCGGCCGCGGCGCGGGAGACGAGGGCGGCCGCGGCGCGGGTCCCAGGCAGGGTTCAGTCGGGCCTGTCTCTCTGCAGGGGAAAGATCCAGAAATAGTTTAAAAAATAGTCTGGGGACGATCGTTTCAGTATTTCCGAGCATTTGGGGGAATTATGGTTTTGAGTATTTTTAAATTTTTGCCCAAAATCCACCTATAGGGGGACGGGCCCGACCTAAGGTTAGTAGCAGAGCCCTGGAGCCCCGAAATTTCGCCGAGCGCGTTCCACCACTCGCAAGAGTGCCTCCTCGCAAACGTCCGAAAAACACGGGTCTGGTTTTATGTAATGTATCGTAGATCCCCCCGCGGGGGATCCAGGCCATTTGCGAGCAGTTACTTTGCGAGTAGTGGAGCGCGCTCGTCGACAATTGGCCAGGATCACTAAACCAGGTCTGCTGCAGCTCGTGTGTTCTCGCGTGGCGGCCGTTCCGGTTCGCGGCACAGGGCCTGGGGGGGCGCTCCCCAATACACGTGATCAAGCCAGGTCCCACTAAACCCAGTTCTGCCAACGCCCTTGGCATCGCTCGGACGTGTGCACTTTTCCTTCGGCGAGGACCATCGAGGAGCATCCTTGATCATCAGGCGGAAAAACCACGCACGAAACCGAAAAGTGCACAGGGAATGGACGTCCGAGCGATGGCGAGGTTCTGCCAACGCCCGAGCGGAGAAAGGACCGCGGGCCAGCGGGGCGCTCAGAACCTCTCCGAGCGTTCAGTCGTCCACGCCGGTGCAGCGGCCAGTCTCCGGGCAGGAGTCGTGCGAGGTGGCGGCGACCATCGGTCGGCAGCATATTATCGGAAACCGGAACACATACATTACCAGTGGCGTGTTGTTTTTCAATCCCTGGACTTTTTGTGGGTCAGGGACGACGTCGGGGTGGTGTGGTGTATAGTTGTTTCCCCGTTCCCCTGGGGAACTGAGGAAAATGTGTACGCCAGCATCCCGTATACACCGGGATCCGCTTTCCGTGTGCGAGTTTCAGTGCAGGGCCGGGAAAATCGTCGGTGTATAGAGTGCGGTTCCTTGGATTCAAGAGTTGCTCTTCGGGGGTGGACAGAACCCCCAACAGTGACACGTCGATTAGTGAATTGTCCGTTTTCGGTTCTCGAGAGGGCGCCGTGGCCGTTATTTTCCAGGCTTGCGCCCGCCAGGTTTGGGCCTCAGGTCGTTTTCACTAAACCACGTTTTACTAACGGGGGATCAGTCCATCCCCGAGCTCTTCGCCGGCGTGACCATTGGTGCGCGGCTTTCGCGGGGGCGCGGGAGGAGTGGGGGCACACCCAAGCACACAGGCCGATACTACCCCAGATCTCCGACGATATGTGTCTCTCAAGCACCCTGTGGCATCGGGTCCTCGTTTTGAGGAGACAGTGCCCCGCGTCCCGAGGGCACCAGAGCCGACGTTCGCGTACGGTTCCCCACGCCAGTACAGCGCTTCGTGTCCCCACAGGGAGCTGCGCCGAAGGCCTCAGAGGCGACACCTGCACGTGGTTCCCCCGCCCAGACATTGTTTCGTGGCCCTGTGGGGAGCTCCACCGAAGGCCCAAGTGGCAGGGTTCGCATGCGCCTCCCCCACACAGTACGGCGCTTCGTGGCCCCGTACGGAGCTCCACCGAAGGCCCCAGAGGCGACGCTCGCGCGCGGTTCCCCCACCCAGTACAGCGCGTCGTGGCCCCATGTGGAGCTCCGTCGAAGGCCTCAGAGGCGGTTTTCGCATGCGTTTCCCCCAGAACAACGCTTCGCGGCCCCATAGGAAGCTGCATCGAAGGCCTCAGAGGCGAAGCTCACATGCGCTTCCCCCACCAGTGCAACGCTTCGTGGCCACATACGGAGCTCCACCGAAGGTCCCAGAGGCGACGTTCGCATGCGTCTCCCCCAGCACAGCGCTTCGTGACCCCGTAGGGAGCTCCACCGAAAGCCTCAGAGGCGAGTGCAGCGCTTTGTGGCCCCGTAGGGGCCCCACTCATTCTGGTATACCTCTCATGCGTCTCGCTACCTTAGCAGGAACTACACCCAAAACGGTATCCACATCGCGGTACTCACAATTGCATGTGCTCGTCCCTTTCGCGTGTGTATTTTTCAATCCCGGGTTTTCTCTTCGATTTCGTCTTCAGGGTTTGCTAGCTGCTAGCGGTCCTTGGGACCATGCAACTAGTTGTCTGTGGCGAAAATTGTCCCCGTGGAAGGGGTGGGGACCATTGGGGCTGCGCATGGAACATTTTCCAGGCGAAGCACCAAACCACATGCAGTTGTGACTATTGTTTTGTGGGTACCGTTTGCGGTGAAGCTTCTTATGAGGCCGCGAAACACGCGGGGTGTGCGCCTCAATGTGTGGGGGAGGCGCCTGCGACCGCGGCCGCGGCCACTGGGGTCTTCGGTGGAGCTCCCTATGGGGCCACGGAGCGCTGTATTGTATGCTGGGTGGGGGAGACGCATGCGGCCGCGGCAACATGGGTCTTCGGTGGAGCTCCCTATGGGGCCACCCAGCTTTATATTGGGTTCTGGATGGGGGAGAGACGTGCGGTCGCGGCCACATGAGTCTTCGGGGGAGCTCCCGTATGTGTCCACGAAGCGATTTCCTGGGGAGGGGGGGGGGGGGGACTCGCGAACGTCGCCTCTGGGGCCTTCGGTGAGTCTCCCCAGTGGGGCCACGAAACACTGTACTGGGCAGAGGAGACGCATGCGAATAGTGTTTCTGAGGCCGTCGGTGGAGCTCCCTATGGGGCCACGAAGCATTGCAATGGATCGGGGAGACGCATGCGAACGCCGCCTCTGGGGACTTCGGTGGACCCACGAAACGCGTAAGGGGTGTAGCGAAGTGGCTGACATGCGGAAGGCAGAGGGATGGATGGGGAGGAGGACGGAAGGAGATGCGGGGCGCTGTCTTGTCAAAACGAGGACCCAACACCAGAGGATGGTTGGGACAATCATGCTGGCGGACGGTAGAGAATGTCGCGCCGCAGGCAGGATCGGTAAGCCGCGCGCCAGAAGGCCTCTTTCGACCAGGGCCACTCGCTGCGTGCAGCCGAATCAACATCCCTTCGCCCCCCATTCCGTCCGCCGCGCTGTCCAGACGGGGCCGAGCCGGCGCATGCGCAGCCGAGGCCCTGCTCCTGGTTTCCCCCCCCGGGCTCGGCCGCCTCGGATCGTCGCCGTGCCAGTTCTGCCCCCCCCCCCCCCCCGAGGCCCGCCCCTCCCCCCCCAATCTCCTGCCGACCTAGCCCAAGCAGGCCCAGGAAGGGTATTCTAGAACGCCCTGGGCGTTCGGTAGCGCTCTGCAACGGCCGCGGCGCCCCACCTCGAGCCGACCCCTTCTTTCGGGTGTTGCAAAAGGCGTCCCTGGCCCCTGCATGGTGCCCTTAGGATCTCCCGGAGGGCCCCCGTGGCTTCCAGGGCACCCCATCACGAGGCCCAGAGGGCCCCAGGCTTAAGAGTGGAACGAAAAGCTGAGGACACCCTGGGCCGAGGACGCCTTTGGCAACACATCGCCCTCTCTTCCCGCGGCGGCCGCGGTTTCCCCCGCCAGGCCCCCGCGAAGCCCAAGGTGACCGAGGACCGCCGCGCCGTCGCGCGCGGCGGCGGCCCCCTCCCGTCGGACCCGTCTCGCGCGGCTCCCGCGGCTGCCCCGCGCGTGCTGGAAGCTGCCTGTCGTGTTCGGGTCCTCGGGCCCGTTTGGGCCGCGCCAGAGCCGCCGAAAAACAGGGCGGGACGAAACGCTTGGCGCAAGCCCCGGGGTCGCGCCCCCTTGGCGGCGCGCAGCAGACGGGGGGCGCGAGGGGCCGGGGAGCGGCCTTCTGCAACAGCGGGGGGGGGCTCGTCGAAAGGCAGGGCGTTCCTTCCCCCAGAGGCCCGCCGGGCTCCCAAGAAGCCTCCGAGGGGCCTCTCACGGAAGCGTCCCGAGGCCGGCGGGCGCCCGAGGCCTGGGCCAGCGGCTCCCTGCCCCTCCCTTCTGCCCCTCTGCCCCGGCTCTCCGGGTGCTGTCCGGCCGGGTTCCAGATCTCCTACGGCCCCAGGAGGATATATATATATATATATATATATATATATACACATACATATATATAGATATATATGTATCGGGGTTCGACACTCTGGGTCGTCGTATGACGAGTTGCGGAAGAATTTGCGTTTTTGTTCTGGCATCTCGCGGTGCGACCGAGTGCCGTGCCGCGAGGAGGTGGGGGAGGAGGGGGAGGAGGAGAAGAAGGAGGAGGAGGAGGAGGAGGAGCCGATGCTCTTATCAATGATGACGTGGCGTGCGCGAGGAGGCTTCGTTCGCATGTGCCCTAGGCGGGCGATCTTCTGTGGGCACGCGGGCTCGGCCTTGGCTTTTGGAAGCCGCAGAATGTCGCCAGGCCGTTGCTCTCGTCACGTTCTGGAGGCGCGTCCCTTGGTACCTAACCTTTGCACATTCCCCGTCGCCCTGTTACTCAGCGGGGGTAGCACGCAATCATCGCGGGCACATACTTCCTGGCCGGTGAGGGGGAACCAGTTTGTTTGCTCACGTCATGACCTGATCGATGATCCAATTGCTTCTGTTTCAGCGCTTCTCCATATTTGTTACGCCACAATAGTACGGTGGAGGCGTTTGTTAACGGATAGTCCTAGGAGTCGCCAGACCCTGGAGGATTCTTTATCCAATGCGGGCGGCGGTGATGCCCATGGCCACTCCACAATTGGAGTTCCGCGGGCTTCCAGACCCTGGATTCCTTACCCAGTGGTTCCTCACTGCGACGGAGTCCCTCCCGTTCGTGGCGGCCGACCCGCGGCCAGGCGGCGCGGGAGCCAGCGAGCGTGAGGGGCCTCCGCTGAGCGGGCTCGAGCGGTCGTTTTCCGCGTGCGACCCGTGAAGCGGCGGCTGGTGCGCCTCGGTGCTTTGGCGGCTGCCGCGGCGGCCGAGCGTGCGCAGTTGTGCTGCATTGAATTCGCCTCACAGGTTTCGGCCTTCGAAGAGAAAATGCCCTCACCGTGTATCGCGTGATTCTCGAGTGGCCCTTGTCCCTGTTCGCCTCGCGGGGCGATCTACGTGGGGCCGTTTGGGGGGGCTCTCGGGGCCGCCACGGGTCTTTTGTAGCCCTCTCGAGGTCTTGCTCGGGCTCCTGGAAGTCCTCTTCGCGGGAAGGTCCCCGAAGGCGCCTTCGAGCTCTGCTCGTGGGCCCCTCGCAGGCAAGACGGGGTCCCCTTGCAACGTTCTATAGGGTTGCCCTGTGTGGGGCTTCCTGAGGGGCTCGAGGCCGGCCTCGTTCGGCTTCCCAAACAATTACTAGCCTGGAACATATCCGTATCCCTATGCTGGGCACCTCCTCATCACGATGCCAATCTTAGGGGTTCCCTTAGTTATTTGAGGGCGAATCCCTAAGATTGTCATCGCCTTTGGGCGCGTCAATCTGGAGGGTAGCGATGCATTCGAGGTTGCTAAAACAAAATGCGTTGCCTAGAAACCCCGAGCGAGACTGCGCCGAGGTTGATCAAATTCGGCGCAGTCCCGCTGCGGATTTACGCGCTGTTCTGGAGGAGCGCGAACTCTCCCCAGCTGTTGCTCCTGGTATACTTGGATGCAGATATGACGCGCTATTGTCGTCGCGTTTTGTAAACGCATTGTGCGTGACTTTTCTCCGCGCCCTGTTGTGAAGGAGCCTCGCCACCGCCTGAAAATCTGAATTCCATGTCAGTTGCTTCCGTGCGGTTTTTAATGGACCGCCGCGCAATTGGAGAGGGGGGGGGCGAATCGGCCCAGTGATCGGCCCTGCGGCATGTTGCCACACGGTTGCTCGTCTTGGCGCAAGCTACCCGTTGCGCAGCCACTATGGCACATGCGCCTGCGCTTTCGGGATGGCAGAAATGCGACGACTTGTGGCTGCAATCCCAGGCTTTGGGCCGGCGCTGGAGCTTCTTTTTTAACGATTGCAAGCCAATGCGATTTGATTGTTTTTGGGCGGGCCCACGTGCGACATTCCATGTCTGGGGGGCGCAGCGCCAGCGGCTCAACGGCGTGGGGGGCGCAAGAAGACTTGCGCAGTGGGCATGCTGGGAGCGCGCGCGCAGCCGGCGTTGCACGTGATGCGCCGACTCTACAGGTGGATCTCTGCGCTTGGCCCCATTGCGAGGAATGCCACTGTCAGCGAGTCACAGTCTGAAGGGGCTGGCCGTCACGATGCGGCGTCGAAGCACGCAGGGGAGCTGGCAAGCGGCCCCTTCTACCGCGGCGGCTTCATGTCGCTGGAGGCGAGGGTCGCCAGCGCAGGCCCGACAGGATGGCGCTTCAGGGCAGCATGTGGCGCCCAGAATTGAACTCTGCGCGTGCGCAGTTGCCCGGGTGTTCCGCGCGCGTTCCGCGCTTGTCGGAACCGCTGCCTTAGTCGCTACTGGTGTTTGCGATGACGATCGCATCCCCGCAGGAAGTGCCCCTTTCCCCGCGAGGATGAAGTTGCACGCGCTTGACAGGTCAATCGGCCGAAATGAGCCCTGGTTGTGCCCGGCCGCGGGACGGCGCCCGTCGAGCCCGCGCCTCCCCCGGCGCGGCGACAGCGACTTGTCGCGCCCAGGGGCAAAGCTCGCGCGGGGCTGCCGGCAAAGGAAGACGACGCAACGCGGGCGAGGTCGCGTTGGATCTTCAAGGCCGTCTCTCTTACCAGGGCACTCAGTAATCCTGACCGACAGCTAAGATTACGAGTCGCACTTTGGCCTGCCAAGCCGCGATGTTTACATGCGGAGACGATTCCCTGGCTCATCAGCATGGCCCGCGCGGGCGGTCGCGTTCAGGGCGTGCAATTGCGAAGTCCGGAGGCACTGGTATCTTCTGCCTGCGCTGCATTGCTCTGCGCAGAAAAGGATTCGCAGCCATGGAAATATTCGCGCTAGCTGCGCCGAGGACTCCGCGGCAACCCAGGGGGCCAGGGGGCCGCGATTGTCGCGGCAATCGCGGCAACCATTGGACCACGGATGCGATCGCGGCAATCTCTCTCGAGCGCGCGCGCGCAGCTTCGTGCGCCCAGACCAGCGCGTTGCACGTGCAACTCCCCATTTGGATGACGTCGGCGCGCCCGCCCCCCTAAAGAGCGCGGCGGAACGCGCGCTGCCGCGCTGAATGTTGCGTTATTTTTCCGACGAGGGGCGCGTCGGGGCCCTTCGCGGGGCCCGCGGCAACTTGGGGTCGCCTGCGCCGCGGCCCCAGCGGCGCGGGCAGGCGGCGGGCTCCACATCGGTCAGTAGTCCCTGCGGGTGTCCGCGCGCGCCCTCGGCGGCCCCCATCCTAGGAGTCTGAGTGACGCGGTGCGAGCGAGACCAGCTCCTCCCGTCGCACGCTTGCCCGCACGGGCGCGCCGGCGCGCGCGCGTTGCACGCGCGTGCCAGTGCGCGCGCCTGCGCGCGCGCGCGCGCGCTCCGCCTCGTCGCTGCGCGCGGGGCCGCGACCGCCACGAAGTGTGTGTGTGTGTGTGTGTGTGTGTGTTCGTGTGCGTGTGCGTGTGCGCGTTCGTGTGCGCGTCCGTGTGCGTGTTCGTGTTCGTGTGCGTGTTCGTGTTCGTGTTCGTGTTCGTGTTCGTGCTCGTGTTCGTGTTCGTGTTCGTGTTTGTGTTCGCGTTCGTGTTCGTGTTCGTGTTCATGTTCGTGCGTGTGTGCGTGTGTGTGTGTGCCTGTGCGTGTGCGTGTGCTCGTGCGAGTGCGCGCGTGCGCGCGCGCGCGAACGCCGCTTGCCCGCTCGCGCGCGCGCCGCGCATTGCGCGCGCAGCCCGCCGACCGATCGACAGACTGACGGGCGCGCAGGCCAACAGACAGACGCGCAGAAATTTAGGCCGACAGACGGACAGACAGGCAGGCGGGCAGACAGGCAGACATACCGACAGGCATACGCGCAGGTAGATATGCAGGCCGATGGGCCGACAGACGGAGGCAGGCCCGCAGTTCGGCACACCGACAGCCCGCCATGCCGGTTGGCTGACAGGGACAGACAGAAAGATGCCCAGGGAGACGGAAACCCAGACAGCCGCACAGACAGATGCGCAGCGATGCAAACAGAAAGACGCCACCTGTGGCCGCGTAAGCATGCTTCAAGCTGGCCTGCACCCGTCTGCCGCCGCAGCGCCAGCTACAGCTCCGCGTCGGCGACGAACGCCGCGTCCTTCGAGGACAGCGGGGTTTGTCCCGAGGGCACAGGATGGCAGAGGGCTCGCAAGGATGGCTGCACGTCCTCGTTGCAACACGCCAGAGCTCGTGAACTGAAGGGCGCGCGAGCGGGGCTGCGCGGGGGCCGGGCGCATGGGGGGCCCCAGCGGGCCGCGGGCGATTTTTTGCGCGGAGGGCCCCTGGCGCCACCATCCACGCGCAGGTTCAATCAGCCGGCTGGTCCGCAAGATGGGCGAGGGCGGGCGAAGACCGGCCCCGAGGCAAACTGCGTGGGCGCCTGGGCAGTCGCTCGTCAGCTCGGAGCGGGACTAACGAAGCGGTCGTCGCGGCCACTGCTGCGGCCATGAAAGGGGGCCAGGCTGAGCCCGCGCGTGGCCTCGTCGACGCCGAGTGCCCGAATGCCCTCAGCAGACCAGCCGCGGGGTGCCCAGCGGGCACACACGTCGCGTGCGCAACCACTTGGGAGTCGCTGCTGCGAACTCGGCCCTGACGTGCCGCGGTCTTGCCAGACGCGCGGCAAAGGTGGCCGCGCTGCCGCGGGGCGTCCTTCAGCGCGTTGCCGTTGGCAAGTGCATGTTGTCGCTGAAGCGCGCGCCCAACTGGCACTGGCGGCGCGTTATCTGGGCGGACATGCGCAGCCGCGTTTCGCCAGCCCCCGTTCGGGGAGGCAGCGCGCGAGCCCTCGCGCAGGCAGAGGGCGCGGGGTGGATGTCCAGCCGCGCGAAGCACAAGCCCCTGTGAACATGCGCGGCAGCCACGAGGACATGGCGCACGCTGGGGCGGGGCGCGCAAAGGTCAATTGGATGCCTGTCCTCGCGCGGGGCAAGCTGCGCCTTGGATCGTTGGGGTCGGGTTTTGCTGGCGCCCGCGCCAGCGGCATGCCCGACTTCGCTTGCAAGATCAGGTCGCCCACTGGCGCGCTTTCCCGCGCCGATAAGCCAGGCGCCGCGTTCGTTGGCCTTGGCCCGCGGCTTGTGTCAGAGCAGGAGCGTCGCGCTCGCCCTCCAAGCAGGCTCTGCGCGGTCGCAACTTCGAGGGCTTCCGCGGTGAGGGCGCCGGTGTTATGCCGGGGCAATCCTGTGGACTTGTGGCCGCGCGAGACTGCTGCGCTGCGGGCAAAGGGGAGGTTGCAGCATGCCCTGCCACTTGAGCTGCGGAACGAAGCCGAGGAGGATTCCGAAGGGCGGCGCACGGCGGCGGCCACGCGGATCAAGCCCATCGTGACGTCGACGGCGCGCGCAGGCAGATGCCGCGGCGCATGCGTGACCTCGCACGCGTGGTCAAAGGTGACAGGCTGGACAAATTAGGGGGCTGCTTCGCAACCGCGCTACTTGCTTGACGCCCTGAACTGTTGTCGCAGGATTTGCGCTGCGTGTCAAGTAGTCAGTCTTGGCATCTGCCGCTTACGCTCTATTCCCATGGCGCGAGTTTGGGCCGAATGGGCATGCGCCGTTGTTTCGCAGCCTTGCCTAGGGACCCGCCTGCGTTTTCTCTGGGACTCGGCGGGGACATGCATAAGGTGTCGAGTTAATTCTGGTTTTCTGATATTCACCGCCATTGTTTTGCAAGGGGGGCGCGACATCGGCGCCCGCCCGCGAATGGCCGCGCGCTTCTGGCCAGCGCAAGTCGCCGTTGTGGGCCGGCGCAGGCCGGGGAGTAGTTTCCAACCGGATCAGTTACACATCATTTGCGGTAGCGCGCATTTGCTCGGTCAATATAGCTGGGGGGTGTCGCGCTGATCAGACGCGGTAAGAAAAGACACGCTGGTGGGGATTTCGTTACCAGGAAACGGATTGTAGCGTGTGTGTGTGTGTGTGTG